AGCAGGGATTGTGGGGCTGGCGCGGGATCGGGCAGTGTTTCGTTCTGCTGTGCATGGGGTCGCTATGAGTCGGAAATGACTTGACGGCACTTAACAACAACAACATTCATTTAAGTTGCTCTGGACCCTCCATTCAGATTCCCCATCTTCTTTACTTCTAATGCCTTTTCCAAACAACTGAACTCTAGATTCAGAGCACTGACTACCAGCTAGCCTCAGGCTATCTGCACTTGATTTTGCATGAAATTTCCCTCATGGACTCTGGCAACTGTTCTCCCAATTGTTGCTCCTAATTCCCCTTACAGAGGATGTCTTTTTTGGCCCCATTCCCTATAATCTGGTCATTAGGACCAAATTCTTCTAAAGTTTCTGTGGATATTCTACAATTTTAAAACATGCTAAGAGGAATGATTTACTCAAGACATCACTGCATACTTTTAACCTTATTGTAAGTAACAGGATGGTTTCAAAAAACCCTGTATAACTTCATAAATTATAAACTAGGAACCACCAGATTCTCTCCTACATCAGGCTCTACTCACCAATTTTGGAAAACTTATTGAGTGGGATAAAAACACTCCAGGAGATTGACCAAGTTTCTCACCTTCACCATGCATAGTGAACACTCACATGGAAAGGGCTGCTGCTATCATGGGGAAACAGCTACAGAAACATCTGGAGGGCTAAGGAATTCTCAAAGTTTTTTTAGGGGTGGCAGATGATCCTGGGTTATTCTGTATTGTCTTCTCCACTAGGAGCAGGTGCAGCCTTCGAAGGAGGAGGCAGTGAAGAGCTGGTCAGTACTTCAGGATCCAGTTTGGACAGGAAGTCACACCCAGGCCCAGGGGGAGGGATACAGTAATGCATGAAACTGTGGAGCTGGTTAAAAATGTCAGCCCTAGGGAAGAGTCAGCTCTCAAGGAACCCTGCGGCTAGGGGCAATAGGATCTTCATTAAAGAAAGCCCATAGCTAATTCTCAAATTATGATTGATTCCCATTTTCACTTTCCTTCTTTAGGCTGTCATATAATACTGCAGACATAGGATCCTTCTCTTTATCTCCTGAGAGACATTATGGAAATAGTGAGAAGAGAAATGAAACAAGAAAGTCAGTCTAAGGCTGGGGAGGATTAGAAATAGAGTGGGCTCTGGAGAAATTCAGACCAGGATTCTAGTTCCAGCTCTGTCACATACTAGTCTACTGACCTAAGGCACACCCCCAAGCTCTTGGAATCAGGGTTTTCATCTGTGAAGTAGATTTGATAAACCCTTTCTTGTGGGACTATGGGAAAGTGGACAATGTATGTAATGTACCCGGCACACTCCCTGGGACATATTAGGTCTTTAATGAATAGCAGTTATTACTATAATAATATTGACCCCAATTCTACCACCTTGAAATACGAATTATTTATTTATTATTTATCTATTTATTATTCAGGATGTCTTAGGAAACAGAATATGTTATAGGACAGTTTATCAATTCTCACAAAAATGCTGCTCATGAGTAAAACTGTACATTTTCCCATCACAAAATATAAGATTTAATATGGGTGTGGGAGTGCCTTCCCCCAACTGACTGCAACTCAAAGTTTCTAGCATTTCTGTCAAGGACCAACTTTTTCTCTCCCTTCCAGCTGTACTTCCATCCAAACCATCCATATTTTTTATGATATCTAGCTTTTAATTCAAATTAGACTGAAGATAACCTAATTAAAATATGCTTTAAAAAGGGTGACCTCTGGCTCTCCCATGCAAAAACAGAGTTCAAGTCCAGTGGCTCCTGTTTACTCATTTCAAGGGAATATCAGCACTATTTCTGAGAAACACCTTGGAGGTAATTTGCATAAAACGCTTAGTTTGTGGAAGGTATTCAACTACACTGGGACAAGAATGCAGGGCACATATTATTCCTTCCCCAGATGGAGGTTTCCCTTTGATTTACCCATGATCTTAAAGCGATTCCTAACAATTTTCCACTCCAGGCTTTTGGGTCTCAACTTTTAGACACAAAAAGTGAGTGTCTGCTCCTTGCTTACCAGCTCCACATCCCATAACCCAGCCTCACTTAAAATTAACTCACACTCAAAAATTAGTTTCCCAACAGCCAAAAACTGTTAGGCTTTGGGGAATTTACACTTGATTTTCATCTGGACCTCTTACCCCTTGACTGGTCTATAGGACTTAGAGAGTATCCCACCAATTTCCTTACATGATTGCTGGTCCTAGAATTTAAAATCCTACGGGCAGGGCCTGGGTCTTAGTTATCTTATTATACCCTTTACTAGTGTGATGCCCATTTAAAAAATAAATGAACCAGAGCAGGAGGGTTAATTTTTAAAAATTTAATTTCTTGCATGTTCTTGAATAAACCAAACAGATTCAGGTATGTATCTTTCAATTTTACAAAGGAACAGACTAAAAGAAATAAGAGAAGCAAGGTACAATTCTATATTTTTGCTTTTTGTTCTATTTGTTTTTTTTTTTTTGCAACAATTAAAAAACTGAGCTCTTTCATGTTTCCAAGGAAACACCTATTCTAATGACATATTATCTTGTTCCATATCATAAAATAAGTCTCCAAAGTTATCTTACAAAATGGCAGTTTTTGCTCTAAACCTTATAACTATCACCTAATGTATGACAAATGTCATTCATACACTTAGATTCTGA